CATTCTACAAAAGGATGCTATGAGTATTATGGACTGAACATTTGAGTAAAAAGGAAGTTTTAAGGAAAATGTAATGAAAAAAAACATGTATACTTAGAATCAGAAAGAGTTTACATTTCTGGGTTACATAATGAGAAAAAAGGCTGAGATGATGTATTGTCAGCCATTATTCTTAATTTTTGACTAGTATTTACTTTCATCTTCATTTTTTATTAGATGAAGCATTGTCAGCCATTATTCATAATTTTTGACTAGTATTTACTTTCATCTTCATTTTTTATTAGATGAAGCATTGTCAGTAATTATTATTAATTTTTGACTAGTATTTACTTTCATCTTCATTTTTTATTAGATGAAGCATTGTCAGTAATTATTATTAATTTTTGACTAGTATTTACTTTCATCTTCATTTTTTATTAGATGAAGCATTGTCAGCCATTATTCATAATTTTTCATTAGTATTTACTTTCATCTTCATTTTAAAACTCACAGTAGATACTGAAGGCAAGGGGAGCAAAGGAAAATAACAAATATCCAACCTAATGAGTTTCTGCAAATAGATAACAAAAAAGGGATTGGGAGAGATAAAGGAAAGACAAACTTATTAGGAACTACAAAAGACAAAGAATTGTTGATAAAAATGACCGTCCATGATCAGAAGGAATAATGCACATAGAAAAAATCGAACCTTGTCACCGCAGAATCCATTGCACTACTTCTCATTTCAATGTAAATATTTTCCTATCTAAATAAAATTTGAAAACAAGGAGGCTTATATTTCCTTATCTGCCATAATTATTCTACTTTTCCTTATCAGAAATTGGCATCATGATTGATAACACCCTGACTGTATTTCATTCTACATGTTTATAAACAAGTTTTAAGTATCACACTTGTGTATGTCAGTTGGGGGTCATCTGATTGTTAGTAAGGTTCAGCTCTAGACGAATAAGTCGATTTTAGCAAAGAAATAACATATTAATAATTTTTGACTAGTATTAATTTTCATCTTCAGTTTGTATTTGATGAAGCATTGTCAGCCATTATTGATAATTTTTGAATACTATTTACTTTCATCTTCATTTTTTATTATATGAAGTATTGTCAGCCATTATCATTAATTTTTTTACTAGTATTTATTTCATTTTCAATTAGATGAAGCATTGTCTGTATTATTATTCATTTTTGACTAGTATTTTCTTTCATTTTCAATTAGATAAACCATTGTCAACCATTATTAATTTTTGACTAGAATTTACTTTCATCCTCATTTTGTTTTTGCCTATTATCCCAAATTATTACTGATCCTCTCCTCATTGCCGTAGATTGATTGCTTCAATAAAAGATCTTTTTTTTACCTGGATTTTTATTGTATCTCTAAATACTGATATTACTTCAAACTATGTTGTTTTCAGGTTGTGTTCTGTTGGTGTCCATTTTTGCACTATAAAAGTAGACATTTTTGTTTTAGTCTTGATTTTTTTCCAATGACTGAAAAAAATGTCAGGATAAAGATTGAGTTGACCTCATAAAATGTGGCCAGAATCCATTACACTACTACTCATTTCGATGTAAACATTTTCATATCTAAATAAAATTTGAAAACAAGGAGGCTTATATTTCCTTATCTGCCATAATTATTCTACTTTTCCTTATCAGAAATTGGCATCATGATTGATAACACCCTAACTGCATTTTTTTTCTACATGTTTATTAACAAGTTTTAAGTATCACACTTATTTGTCCATGTCAGTTGTGCAGGAGGTGGGGGGGGGGTAATGAAAACTTTAGACATCTGGTTGTTAGCAAGGTTCAGATCCTGACAAATAAATCTATTCTAGAAAAGAAATAACATATTAATATTTTTTTTTTACTATTATCTAATATCATTTAAATTTTTTAATAGCTTTTATTCAAATTATCAATCTTTAACAGGAGAAAGACAGCTGCATCAGACAAAAAAATAATAGCCTATGAAACAGCTTCAAACTCATTTTTTTTTACCCAAGCAAAGCCTTGATGAATAGACCAAAGTCGACATTCCATGTACATCTTAAATGCAGTATTTGCTAAATTTTTTACACTAGTATTATTGGGAGTAGCAGTATTGTCTTTAATTTATTTTATAGGATGTAATCATTGTCAAATATAAGTAATAATTTTTAATGGTAATTTACTTTTAACTTCATTTTTGCAGATGAAAACATTGTAAACTATTGTTGTTAATTTTTAGTGAATATTTACTTTCATCTTCATTTTTTATTCAAGGAAGTATTGTCAGCCAATAATATTACATTTTTATCATATTTACTTACATCTTTATTCTTGTAAATGAAGCATTTTCAATCAGTATTTTAAATTTTGAGCTTGTATTTACTTTCATCTTCATTTTTTATTACCTGAAGCAATGTCAGCCATTATTATTAATTTTGTCTAGTATTTACTTTCATCTTCATTTTTTATTAGAGGAAGCATTGTGAAATGCAAATAAGATATGCAGATTTTATTTGAAATGTTTACTATTCATGCAAATGACTAAAGGGAGAATTTTCATTCATCTAAACTGCAAATAAACTGTTTAAATAGCTTTCTGATTTGAATTTATTTTTAAATAAATCATTGTCAATTATTTTTTTGTGATATTCATCATTTTTTTTATGCATTGATCTTGTTAACTTTTTCCAATTCTTCTTTTTGTAGAAGGTTTTATTGCTTCCTAGTGATCTTTGCTTGAATATCGTTTTCCATTCATCCATACATCTTTTTTAATGATCAACAGGAGCATATCAATGGAAAATGGCTTTAAAATTGAATCTCAGTTTTCACATCTGATAGCCTACCAAAATGTAATGTAGTACAAAAGCATATGTCAAGACTATGGAATTTAAAAGTTTGTGTGTTTGCATCTATTTTAGGTGTGTGCATGTTTGTACATAATAAATATTTAAAAAAAAGAAGCATACAAAAACATGGATTTCTAACACTGACTGTTTATTCATTTTTTATATAAACTGTAATGAAATAAAGTTCTCAATGTCTCTTGGGTATGTCCATATACTTTCTAGTCTAGAAGTTAGGGTAAGTAAGTATAAGTATTATATTAGTGGTTGAGCTCAAATCAGCCTTGCACAGAGTTGAAACAACCAAAGAAAATTTCTCCTTACTTTATTGCTGGAAGATTTGAGCATACTTAGGATATGTCCATTTTCTTTTTCTTGGAAATTTGGAATTAGGCTAAGTATGAATATGCTTCATTATAACGGTCAAGCTCAAGTCAACCTTGTGCAGAGTTGTAACAATCAAAAAAATTTGTACTTACCTTATCATTGGAAGGATGGCGCAGGATTATGGTCTGCCCGTTTTCTTTTCTTGGGCCAAAAACTAGGGTAAGTAAATAAAATCATTGTTATAATGGTCAAGCTCAACACAGCCTTGCACAGAGTTGGAACAACCAAAGAAAAGCTTGTACTTTATCATTGGAAGATTTGAGCATGGTTATGGTATGTCTGTTTTCTTTTTCTTGGGCCAGAATTTAGGATAAGTAAGGATAAGCATCGTTAGAATGGTTACATTCAAGTCAACCTTGCACAGAGTTGGAACAACCAAAGAGAAAGCTTGACATACTTCATAGGTGAAGGTTTTAGAAGTCACACGTAAATTGGAAAGTGTAAAGAGATAGTCAGTAATCAATGGACCAAGGAAATGAATGTGCTCTGTTAGGAATGTAATTTCCACATGGTTCTACATCTTGGATCAGGAGGGAGAAAGAGGCTCAGAAAGGAAAATGTTTGTTTTTTTATAGAGTTAACCAGTGCCACCTAGCAGCATTTGATGAAACCGAGTGGGGTAATCACATTTTCAGTTCCTTTACTCTTAACATCATGGGAAAATGTATTTCTTTTTTATTATTATTCATTGTTATTTTATCGATTTCATTTCATTTTCCAAAAGAAGATTAATATATATATATATATATATTTATTAAAGACATTTTTATGTTTAACGTTCTTTTTTATAGATACAAGTATTTAAGTAAATGCTCTGTTTATAATAAACAGTATTAAATAACATTTACCGGCCTGAATGTCCGAGAAATTTTCATAGAAAATATCCGTCCTTTGACAGGATTCGAACCTGCATCCTATACGGAACCGTCATTTACGCTGACGTGCCTAACCTCTCGGCCACAAAGGAGCGTTCGGTAGGCAAGGTCGAATATATGACCTCATTTGTTTACATTTGATACGCCAGAGCAGTTATGAATGTACAAGATTCATGGAAGATTGAAGTTTATAAGCAGTAAATTCGACCTTCGATATATATATATATATGTATATTGATGCGTTTCATTAAATAATATAGACAAGTTTTGTCTATTTTATATAAATTCTTTTCATATCGTCTGATAGGCTGAATAACATTATCATTAAACGAAGAAAGAAAATCACAATATTGATACATATTTTTTAATCCTATCTAAGCTTTTGGCTTACATAAGCCGTTATCAAAGATGACAATTACATTACAATATATTAAGCAATACATGGACAAAACAGTGATGATAGTCTGTTTCTGTTTACATGGAAGATTTCCAAGCAATGACAAACTAGTGCATACAAGATGCTGGAAGTGAAAATCGCACTGCAGCTCATGACGTCACACATGACCATGCAAGAGTAAAAACGAGAAGTATTAAGTATGGGAAGCCGTTGGTATGTATCAATATTGTGATTTTCTTTCTTCTTTTAATGATAATGTTATTAAGCTTATCAGACAATATGAAAAGAATTTACATAAAATAAACAAAACTTGTCTATATTATTTAATGAAACATGCATCAATGAAAAAATGCTGCCTAAATACACACAATTTAAATAAATAAATATATATATATATATAATTGAATTTATCTCAAGCAAGGCAGTAAAGCCACTAGGACACAAGGGGTTACTGACTGGGTGATGATAATTTCTAATCAATAGACAGGCTTACAGTCACATGTTGAAGCACTGGTTCCTGTATGATCACCAAAGTTAAGCAATGTTGAGCTTGGTCAGTACCTAGATGGGCGACCACTTGGAAATACCAAGTGTAATAAGCTTGGATGTATGGGTGGTGTAATGGATAATGGCTTGGAATTGTTAATTGGAGAACTGAGTTCCAGTTGAGTTCATTATATTCACTTTGGAAAGGTATGAATCCACCTCTTTTCTCCCCAGCTATGGGTTAATTAGTAAGACTTGTGGTTCTAAACCATTGTTACGTCAAAAACAAAATTCTTACAATCTAAAAATATTTTCTGGTTTTAAATAAGCTGCAAAGGGTTGATAAGCTATAGAAAATGAATGAATCAATCACTTTTATAGACTGATGGCCTGAATAAACGTTGCAATAAACACTACAAAAAATAAAAATGACAGTCGATAATGGTTGACAATGTGTCATTTAATAAAAAATGAATATGAAAGTAAATACTAGTCAAAAATTAAGAATAATGGCTGACAATGCTTCATCTAATAAAAAATGAAGATGAAAGTAAATACTAATCAAAAATTAATAATAATGGCTGACAATGTTTCATCTAATAAAAAATAAAGATGAAAGTAAAAACTAGTCAAAAATTAATAATAATGTCTGACAATGCTTCATCTAACAAACAATGAAGGTGAAAGTAAATATAAAAAAAATATTAATATGTTATTTCTTTTCTAGAATAGACTTATTTGTCAGGATCTGAACCTTGCTAACAACCAGATGTCTAAAGTGTTCAGTTACCCCGCCCCACCTCCTGCACAACTGACATGCACAAATAAGTGTGATACTTAAAACTTGTTTGTAAACATGTAGAAAAAAATGCAGTTAGGGTGTTATCAATCATGATGCCAATTTCTGATAAGGAAAAGTAGAATAATTATGGCAGATAAGGAAATATAAGCCTCCTTGTTTTCAAATTTTATTTAGATATGAAAATGTTTACATCGAAATGAGTAGTAGTGCAATGGACTCTGGCTGCATTTTATGAGGTCAACTCAATCTTTATCCTGACATTTTTTTCAGTCATTGGAAAAAAATCAAGACTAAAACAAAAATATCTACTTTTATAGTGCAAAAATGGACACCAACAGAACACAACCTGAAAACAACATAGTTTGATGTAATATCAGTATTTAGAGATACAATAAAAATCCAGGTAAAAAAAAGATCTTTTATTGAAGCAATCAATCTACGGCAATGAGGAGAGGATCAGTAATAATTTATAATTTGTGATAATAGAAAAAGAAAAAATGAAGATGAAAGTAAATTCTAGTCAAAAATTAATAATGGCTGACAGTGGTTTATCTAATTGAAAATGAAAGAAAATACTAGTCAAAAATGAATAATAATGCAGACAATGCTTCATCTAATTGAAAATGAAAGTAAATACTAGTAAAAAAAATTAATGATAATGGCTGACAATACTTCATATAATAAAAAATGAAGATGAAAGTAAATTCTAGTCAAAAATTAATAATGGCTGACAGTGGTTTATCTAATTGAAAATGTAAGAAAATACTAGTAAAAAAATTAATATTAATGGCTGACAATACTTCATATAATAAAAAATGAAGATGAAAGTAAATACTAGTCAAAAAATAATAATGGCTGACAATGGTTTATCTAATTGAAAATGAAAGTAAATACTAGAAAAAATGAATAATCATGGATGACAATGGTTTATCTAATTGAAAATGAAAGTAAATACTAGTAAAAAAAATTAATGATAATGGCTGACAATACTTCATACAATAAAAAATGAAGATGAAAGTAAATAGTAGTCAAAAATTAAAAATGGTTGACAATGCTTGATTCTAATAAAAAATGAAGAAGTAACCATACAACCAATACGTTTTCCAGTTTAAATTTATAAAATCCCTCTTAACAATTTTTCTGGGAAATTTCTCAAGTTTTGCAGTTGTTATTGCTCTTTCCAGTATTGATGGAAGTTTCCTTCCTAACCTTTTGTTTGATGTTGTATGAAACATCAACATCGTGATTATGTCATTATTTTCACTTTGACTTTAATTGTTGCTGATATTTGGTAATCCACGGGTGATGTAGTTTCTACTGTTTGGTGCACTTCTTTGTGATTCTCTAGGCCATCAAGGGCTATAGAACCTGGTCTGTCCTGCTATTTAGCCATAGCTGGGAGTAGGCAAAGAAGAGGATTCATACCTTTCCGAAGGGTATTAGCATGTAAGTGAATATAATGGATTTGACTGGAATTCGAACTTGGCTCTCCAATTCCTCAATCCAAGGCATTATCCATTACTCTACCATGCCTCTCAGTCTCAATCTAATGAAGCTATTTAAGAACATGATGCCAGTTTTCAGGTTAATGTTTTGGTTTTGTAGCAAGTTGCAGTGTTGAGAGAAACTAACTCTAGCATATTCTGTGTTTAATTTCCTATTCTCTTATACAAAATTTGTTGTAACTGATCCATACAATGAAAATAACAAAAATGTTCCTTTTGTCTGCATTAGGCTTTCAAATAGCCATTCAACCAATCAGTGTACAGAAACTATTTAAACTGAGATGTTAATTCCAAATTTGATCTCCTCCCTCAAAATGGTGAAGTAAGTTATTTATTGATGAATATATTTGTGAAAGTGATAAGTCAATTTACACTATTTATATTGTTTGGACTATTGTTCTCATCATTATTGTCATATTCACAATGTTTCAGCTGCTGTATGCTTTGGCCTTCCTCAGGTGATTTATATCAGGTGATTTCAAACCAAATGCTTTATTTCGTCCATCAAAGATAGATTGTTCTAGTTCCACATGCCATACCTTTTTTTTGGATATTTCAGTTTCTGTTATTTCCTTTTAGTAACTCAACTCTCCAAGTTTTTTTTTTTTTTTTTTGTTCGCCTCTGCTGTGGCTAGATATTGAACTGACAACTCTTCAGGTCAAGTCACTGTGGGACATCAGTGTATGAATTTCTGCATCTTATAGACCTAATGCCTCAGTAACTATTTTTTACCAGATGATTGTTATTGTTTTTTCTATTACTTTGTATTACTGATTCCCATATTATATTCATGTCTGGGCTTAAATGGCGTAAGAAATTTGTTGACCTAGCATGTGTACTGATTCCTTAAGGCTGAAGCGTACAACGGCTGAAACGTCATGAATACGACAATAGTGTGAATGATGTAAATAGTTACAATGCCTCATCTCAGGAATATAAACAGATCCTCAAGAAGACAAGAGTGTACAATGGCTGAAATGTTGTGAATATGACAATAAAGATGAGGACAATAGTCCAAACAATATAGTGTAAATAGTTACAATACTGCATTTCAGAAATATAGACATTGATCAGTCATGTTCAGATTTGTTATCTGGTAGTCATCAAGAATTTACTAATAAGAAAGAAATCATTATTCAGGTCTATGGGGAATTGTCATAATTAGATATGTTTCTATGGCCTATATCTTTAGAATTTGTTTAAAAATAAAAATTCATGTTACATTTTGTTTTTGCCATACAATTTGACAGCAAGTTCTTATCAATATTTTTGAAAGGATAGAAATTAAAAGATGAAAATCACACAATATATTTATCATGTAAGTATATGCTGAAAATTTAACAACATGGCTTGCTTAATACTCGATTATTATTTTATTGCTGTTTTTTTCCCCTCTTATTATTGTTGCTTTTTATGCAAACATTCTATTATTATTTTATTACTAGTTTTATTCCATTTTATTATTGTTGCTTTTTTATCCCAACATTCTATTATTATTTTATTACTAGTTTTATTCCATCTCATTATTAGATATTTCTTCCAGAATCTTCTGTTGGCTGCACACAGACACACACAAAGTGGATATTGTCAAGTTAACCTCACTTAACATTGCTCCTTTGAAACTTACATTGTATAATCCTTGGTGTTTTCAATGCTACATATCATGGGATGTCATAACACTAGGAATGTTTTGACAAAAGCTCCTTTTATATTTCTACAGAAACCAAGCTCTCATGCCATTATTTGCCTACATCTTTTTATTGTTGCTTTTTGTCACAATGTACTGCTTATTTGATAGCTAACTCTCACACATGCCATTGTCAGCATCTATCTGTATAAACACAATTCTTACATACAGATTTATAAATGCATGGGCATTTTTATATAGATGTATATAACTCTGAAAATCAAAATTAATTATGTCTGAAATTTATACCCAAATTTTCATCAAAAACTTGGGTAATGGACTAAAATATATAAAATTTATAAAATATATAAAAGAAAAATTGTTTAAGTCCTTAACAAATTAATTATGTTTTTTTTTAATCATTTCACTCCTAGCAAGGCAAAAAAGCCACTAGGATGCAAGAGGTTACTGAGTGTTAGAGAATATGAGAAAAACTACTATTAAGGAGAGAATACAATAAAAGAACAGGAATTAACAAGACAGACAATAATGATTGACACTGCATTTAACTTTTTGAAAATCAAGTTGACTAGAAAGTCTAATAAGATACAAGAGGTTACTGAGTGTTAGAGAACGTGAGAAAAACTAGTATTAAAGAGAGAGGACAATAAAAGAATAAGAATTAAGAAAAGAGAAGAGAATGATCGACATTGCATTTAACTTTTTGAAAATCAAATTGACTAGAAAGCAAGAAGCCAGAAGTGATTTCCACAGGCGAGAAGTGCGAAAGAAGAAACTCTTAGCATAGATAAGGAATTTTTTCACAAATTTACATGTTTGAAGTAGTATCAGTAGCTTTTTTTCAGGAAAAGGTTTTTGTTGGCCCAAAGAAAATTTCACATATTTCTTTCCTTTTTTCTTCCTCAGTCCTCCAAATTTGAAGGGAGTGGGTGAAAGGAGTTATTGCTATTTCACACTCATTACATATCTATAGAGATTAAATTAAAAATGAATGTTTATATATATTTTTTTGTTTATGTCCCTTATAACAACAGAGTTGGCAATTCTATTCAGGTAGAATGATAGAAACAAGATTAGCAATACTAAAAAGAACTAGATGAGATATCACTTGACATAATGAGAACTGTTCAGTTTGGAATTCCTTAAAAGTTT